TTGAGATATATCAAAGAGAACTTTTTATCGAGGTCTAGTTGCCTTAAAATGTTCTGTACATCTTGTACCTTCATATTTCACGCATGGCAACATTAGCAGCATCAGTGCTCGGATAGCAATGACGTCACTTTTCTTACGTCAGGACGTAAAAAGATGTAGAGATGAGCGCTGTCATCTGTTATACTTAATGTGTAAGAGTAATTCCGTAACATTACAATGGACCTTTAAGACAGATGCGATACGATAGTACCCCGCATGCATAGTCATAGGTTTGAATATGATGGCTTGATGGAGCACTGGAAAAAAAAAAAAAAAAAAAAAAAAAAAAAAAACATTGGATCTGGAGGCCAGACTCTTGAAAACATTGACAAGAAAAAATACTCTTGATTCAATCGGAATTTTGCTTGAATCAAAACGAAATCCGTTTAAATTAAGAGGCTTGGTTCTTGCTAGATTCTGATTAAATCAAGAGTACTTTTCCTTGTCGATGTTTTTAAGAGTCTGGACTCTAGATTCAATGTGTTTTTTTTTCCCCCCAGTGAGTCCATTTATTTTTTCAACTTTAACAATATTTTATCCCCTAGAATATTCTACCTGAAATGAGTATGTTATTGAAGGTTTTAGGGATTTCATCTGTTTTTTCACAAACGAGCTCTGCACTCGGTAATCCAGTGTTGCGCGGAAGGTCTAAGAAAATATATAAGGATTGAGCGAAAAGAAACCTTAACATCCGCTACAGGAATGCGCGGATTTAAAACGAAGCTAATTTAAGGTGACGTTTGGCAAAACAGGAAACAGTTGCAAAATAAACGCATCTTTATGTTAACGCTAGTTTAGGTTAGTTTCTTGAAAAGTCATCGATGTCTTACCCTCTGATGATACATGAAGTAAAATATTGAATAATGGTTCTCGGAAAAAAAATTTAATCGGGAGACTCGAGGCAACGTTGAAATGTTCAAACGGTGTCGAATAAACACAACATGGGCCTTTTAAGCTCTATTATTCGATGCCACGATTATTCTAACACGAGTTCGAATAATCCCGCCTAACATAGTGCGGCCGTCGTTAAACGTATATTAGCGCCTGCAAGACTTTAGGAATACTTCGCGCATTGCGCCAAACAGTGGGGTCGGCGTAAAACCCATATTAGCGCCTACAAGACTGCATGAATACTTCTCGCATTGCGTCAAACGAAGTGCAGTCGGGCAGTTGGCGAGAAACGCATATTAGCATATTAAAACGCAAGACTGGAGGAATGCTGTAGGACTGCGTGTCATCATTTTTGACTTTCTTTTCCAGTTTTTATCACTAAAGGGAAAGTATGTATTCTCATTGTAACGATTCAGAAACTCTGATGATATTTAATTTTTTTTTTATTACATTAAAAAAAATGGTCAATTCTTTTATTTGAGATCATTTAGGTAAATTCGCGGATACTTTTCAGAAATACTGAGTGTAGCTTTTCCATTTAAACATAAAAATATTTATTAAGAATAAAAGATAAAAGTGGTGCATAACGTTGCAATCAGAGATAAATTAACGCCATCTTTCGGATGCACCCGTCGGGTTTTGAATTCACTCACCTCCTAGAAAACTTGAACATGGTTATTCTACGATTTTTTACGTATAATTGTTTTTCATCGGTTGGCGACCACGTAGCGGCCACAGGTACCTAGTTCGCTTTTTAAATGTCTATAAAATCTCTCTGGGTCATTCATGCTGCGAGTAAGAAAATTGGAAGTTTGTTTCAGTGAACCCTAGTTAGTTCGCACACTGAATCTCTACTGATAACGGAGATAAAAAGAAATGAGCTCGATAGATGATCGGTATTCAGAAAATTTTTGTATTGACGTCATCGCCAGTATATTGACAGTGGAGTCACTATCTCATCGGATGAAAACTGGACCTGAGTATTCACGTTCCTTTTTCTTCCTCTTTTTTTATTTCATCATTTGAGTTAAAATCAGCCCCTCTTCCTCTTCATATGCACTGTATCTTCGCCAAGATTACTGCATGAAGAAAAAAGTCACTGCAAGAATTGACCTTCATTTTCATCTGATGAAAATCGGACTGAAGGATTCAACTCGAAGTGGGGAATCGATAACGGCCCTTCCTGGTTGAGTTTTCTCAACGCTACGATTTTATGCTAATTGAAGGTCTATTTGTATTTTACGGAAAGCGTCATAACTCGGTCTCCGTTCGGGGTCTAATACTAGCCTAAACACGGATCAGAGGGCCGATTTTGACGGAAAACACGTATTTTGCAGGCCGCGGCGGTCCGATGCCGAAAGATCCACATTTTTCGCCAAAATCGGCCTTCTGACGACGACGTTTAGGCTAGTATCAGACCCGAAAAGAGACCAAAATCGATCAAATTATGACGCTCTCCGTAAAATATACACTGAACAAAAAGTTTGGTAAATCCGAACTAGTTAGGATTATATGGAACCAAGTTTTGTTCGGTACACACAATCGAAGTATTCGGTTTGTGCGACCGAACCATAACAAATTCTTATAGTTCGGTTCAGCGGACCGAACAGTTCGGGTGAACAGACCGATTAATTAGGTTGTGTGTACCGAACAAAACGAGGTTCCATATGATCCTAACTAGTTCGGATTTACCGAACTTTTTTTTTCAATGTAGGGTAGACCTTCAACGAGCAAAAAATCGCAGAGTTGAGGACATTTAGATGCAGCCCAAAACTGGTCCTCGTCGATAGATCTCCTTCCTCTCTTCATCATTTGGACGTATTTCTGCCAAACGGAACCATGTGCATTAAGACGTGAGCCTTGTTATGCACATATTCTTATGGGTCTCAGGGCTCATGTCTTAATGCACATAGTTCCGTTTGATAGAAGTACATCCATTTTGGGCAAAGAATCCAGCCCCTTTCATACACCCCTCTCGTGGATAAATTTGAGGCACTTATCACGTCCTGCGGTCTTCGCCGGCGTAAACAGTACCTGTCATGCGGTTCATTATCATCATCAGACCTATCGGGGGG